AGTTTGTTTAGAATTGACCTTTTTTCAGACATAGTGTTCAGCTGCGACAGAAGGTGCCAAAAGTGAATTCACTAACTTTCTAACCAGAATCAAGACTGACCATTTCTACTTTCATTCAAGTGTCTTTCCCTCAAATTATTTCCATAAGCTTTCCCTCAAATTATTTCACTGACTTCAACTGAATAATTTGTGCATATATGTTAGTGTACATTTGTCTCTGTAATGAGGAAAAATCTATTGGAGGCAAATAACCTATTTGACAAATATTTGAATTATATCCTGACTGATTCATTTAATTCCTAGCATGACTGGAAAAAAATCTTTTTTAGTGTTCAATAGATACTTTTCATGTATGCATAAAGACTATATAGTACAATCCTTATATGCATGGAGGCAAAGCCTCATTAGGAAGATAAAATATCAAAAACATCTGTAGTACAATAGAAACTACGTAAATTACCTAAAACTCTATTCTCTTTACATATATATTTTATGTCTCACATATACCTACATGGTATATTCTAAAAACTAGTGGCAATAGGACAACTGTAGTTGAGAAGAGATATGTAGTAAGAGGAAGGGGAAGACCCTACCTGGAACTGTGTGTGCACGTATATGCCCCTACAGGTTACCAGAAGCAGTTCATATTAAATATACGTCAGGCATAATTCTAGCATAAACTAGCAGCTACCATCCCAATTTGTTAATTTTTCAGAATGATATCTAGATACATTGGGTTTCTTACAATCAAGTCTCCTTATGACCCCTGAGAGATAAACTGTGTGGAAAGAACTTTCAGGTCAGTTCAGTAGGGTTTGGATAAGAGTCTTCATGGCAACTCTCTTAAATAATTTTGTAAATTCCCTTTATTTAGTATTCATTGCACCAAACATCTCTTGATTGTTGAACCTATACTGTTCTATTTTCCAGTGAGAGAACATATTACATGAGAATGTAAGGCAAAAATACTCCTTTGAGACCTTAGATTGTGAGTTTCCTGAATTAATCCTGATAATTTAATATATAAAATACACTACACTAAAACAATTTTTTCTTTGCTAATAATTGCGGAATCAGGTCAGGAAAACGTTTAGTAAAACACGGTTGCTGATTCTAAACACTGTATTTTTATGAACATCAGCTATTTCAACATTCACAAACCAGTTTATATGTAACATTTGCTAACATTTCTTTTCTTGCTATATGTCTAGGGTACTGGCAATATTTACTAGCATGCAAAGCACCTTACAAATGTGACCTGGTGCCTTCTTAACCAAAAATTTTTAGTAATGCTTCACTACTTTCACTTAAGAAACTTGCCCCCAGGAAACTAATTTTATTTGAACTTCTTGCATTATGCTATCCAAAATGACATCATTCCAAGTAGCAATAGCCCAAGTGGCAGTTAGTTCACTTGTAATTCCCTAGTCACTCAATGGAAAAACAGAAAATTACCCCATATCCACAAAGTCCAAAAAACTGAAATAGTAAAAACCTCTGCAGAAATAAATATGTGATGTGGGTACCACAATACACAACATGTCTTTTCAGACTATGCTTTCTCTTGCTCTGAAACTGCTTACGGTGTCTAGAACGATAAAAGAGTTCGTGTTTCCTACACCCAGGGAGAATCTTTAGGAGCAGGAGGAAATTGTCCCACCTACTGGAAAGTAAAACTGGTGAGTCTACATGCAAAGTTCATGACTGACTGAGAATCCTTCCAGCCTTGGGCTCAACGCCCTTTCACCCAGGTATCTGGGGTGTGTCACAGCGGAATCTGTTGTAATATGTTCTTATATACTCCGTAGAAGGCCTGGGTGTTCCATCAGTGTTCATGGCAGAGTTAATTCATGACCAAACTTTTGATAAGTTCAGATAAGAGGTCTGGAAACCAGAATCTTATCTGTTTCTATGTTTGCATTTGTTTTTTTTCTGTTAGTTTCCTAAGAAGGTTTTCTGGAGAAACCCTGACCATCGGGGAGCCAGAAGAATCAGAATGGCAGAGGGGCCAAGGGCTGAAGCAGCTCTGGAGCAGGACCCACAATCCTCTGACTCAGGCAGAGCTGCTGATGCCAGCAAGCACTGGAGATGAAAAGCAGCAGGCTGGGGGAAGCAGAAGGTGTGGGAGCTTCGGAGTAAATATGGCAATCTAGTGGCATTAGGAGAAATGGTGCTTATCTCCTTGTAGTGCAGGGTAGTAGAGATATGCAATTAAACAGGACCTGGCAACCCCTGCTTGTTCCCGCCATGCAGCCTCCTCCAGTTACTCATCTGATCCGAGCTGAGGTGCGTGTCTGTAGCACTGGCCAGCATCCTGAGCCATAATTCTGTCTAGCTGTGGTTTTCTCTCCTTTCTTGTAGATCAGGCTCCTCAACTTGTGACAGCTAAACATTGAGTCTCAAAATATCAAGCAAAGTTCAGGTACTGTTGAGAAGTGAAAGAAGAGCTGGCAGGGGTGGGGACAGGGTGAAAGGGCATCCGCAAGGGTGAGGCTTGGCTTTACAAGTGCAGCCTTGGTGCACTGTTGCCTGAGCTCCTCCGACTCACTTCTCTGAGCTCATTACTCACGTTGCTTATCGATCCCAGCACCACTGCCTGGCCCAGTCTTTTAGTGCTCAGATTCCCCTAACTTTCAGCTTCACTTCACTTGTAGAGCAAGCCAATGGAATGACAAGAAATGGTTTATCCTTTCTGATTTTTATCAGACTGTTTCCATCTACTTCGGCCCAATGATCAAAGCAGACTGCCCCTAATCTGGAAATACAGTGGATCTTTCAAGTAAACTGCTCCTTGGGACCTTCCTTTCATCCATCATAGTTCTGGCAAAAGATCAATCTTAAAAAATGCTCAAAATGCAAGAGAAAAGAAAACAGATGCATCTGTCAGCCCCAAAGTGGTCTTATTCAATTCAATAGGTTGGGAGGATTTTTCCTTCATTGTTGAAAGTCTTGGTGTTGTAGTAATGCCCAAGTGATAGCTCAGCTGAGGACCACTGAGGTCTAGAGCCACAGTTACTGTACTTTGCTGTCAAGTCTGAGATTATATCCATTTGGGGAAAGTGAGAGTGAGGGGCTTAGAAAGAACTCTTGCTTTTTTTCCTTTAATATTTTATGATCAGGAAAAATATTCCAGAGAAACAATTAAAATTTAGCATGAAGGCTATTTTTTCAAAGACCAATTTACAGTCACCAAATTAGGTATCTACCTAATTCATATTAGAGCAGCCCAATGAAAAAGATATAAAATAAGTAAACTTACTTAAAATTTAAAGATGGAAAGTAATAAACCTAACCCGAGTGCTGGTTTCTTGTTAAAGTCCAACTTTTACCATTTTATAAGATATATTAAATTGACATGACTGAATATTTAACTTCATCACAAAGAAAGAAAACCCTGGCTCATGAGATCTTAAAAAGCTCTGTCAATGACGCTGCTTAGGCAGGAGGCCACGGGGCAGTAGCTATGGGCTGAAAGTTTGAGTCTCCAATGTCAAGCACTAGTGGGTGAGGCTTGTTGGAGGTGGCTAGGTAATGAGGGTGGGGATCTAGGGATGAGATTAGTGCCCTCAGAAGAGACCCCAGAAAGCTTCCCTGCCTCTTCTTACTGCCAAGGCTGACTAGATAGTGGATCCTTACAATACATCAAATTTGTCAATGTCTTGATCTTAAACCCTATCTTCCAGAACTGTGAAACATAATTGTTGTTTATAAGTAACTCATTTTGTGGTATTTGTTAAAGCAGCCCAAAGAGACTAAGACAGCTTCATTTCAGAGCTGTGTTCTCAGGCCTGTCTCAGTCCAAAGAGCTAAATGACTTAATAAATGACTGTATCCACATTACATGTAGGCCCACCTCCCTGACCAGATCCACTGTATACTGAGAATGAAAGAGTGTTGTTCTTAGTGAAATAGCTCAGTCTTGAAGTCTTTGTCACCTGCTCCATATCAGGGTACAACTAGATGAAAGAACCTTTCCTTCCCTCCCTGGAGCAGGATGCAAGACTATTTTTAGAAAAACCCTTATGTCATTAACTTCAATCCCCTATGAACCCTATCATAGTGGGGGCTCATAGTTACACAATCCCTTTTCTAAAATCCTTCAAACAGATGTATTGGAATTCAAACTTTTTTCAGATATGGTGTCTGCCATATATATCACACAAAAATTCCAGTGGGTTCTGAGCCAACCTCTCCTAATCAAACACTTTAATATTTCTGCAGTGAAATATATGAGGCCTTACAATAAATAAAGGCTGAAAATCACTTCTAATCAATTCAGGGCAAGCTTTGCCATCAAATGAATTCCAGCATCAAACTTGCAAAAGAATTTCAGTTTTCTGGGCATTTTGGATTTTTAAATTGAGAGTAAGAATATGTAGATCTGTATAAGGTCTTCTAAAAGTTAAGACAGATTAATCTGTTGGTTCTTACAGAAAGAAGAGATGGAGCCTTTTGCAAATAGCCTAAAGGGGGCTTTTCAAAGGGTTCTTTTAGACATGAATTTGACTATGCTGAACATATGATATGATAAGTGAGTTCCCTTGTTCCCTGGCTTCTGTCATATGACCTTGACATACTCTGTCCGCCAGATTAGTCTGCGACAGTGCTGTTGTCATGGAATCTGCCTCACTGTTCTGCAAGGAGAGGGTCCAGAAGTGAGCAGCCCTAAGTGCTCTGAGGCTCACAGGAACATTCCCAGACTAGAATAAAAACTTCAACAAGGCAAGAGTGTTGGAGCCAATTGGCATGCTTGCACGATGACTCTATCATAAAGTCATTCCAGTGTGATTTTTTTAAGGCTATATATATACAAATATACCAAAACAAGCAGTCTTTCACCTGTTTAAGGGGAATATTTTTTAAGCTCTAATATTTGATATCTTAAAGGTGAGACTGAGAAGATCATACTCTGGGTTGCTGTGTAGACTCATCTACGAGGGTAAACTGTTGTTCAGGTGAGGGGTGGCCAAGAGTGGAGATGTAGGGAGAGAAAGACTTACTTGGCTTCCAGGGCCAGTGCGATGATGCCTGCAGCCATGGGAGCTGAGGCCGAAGTCCCCGTGTGGTTGTCTGTGCAACGCTGTCTCAGATCAGTGGTAATCTAGAAGAGACAAGTGGAAAATGTAGGTCTTTGGGCTCAGCATGAGTCACCTAAAAGAAGAAATCCAGTTACTCATGGAAGTAGAGTGGACGAGTGTTGGAACAGTTATCAAAATCCCGTTCCTGTGTTCCTGGGACCATCACTTCCAGAGAATCGCCTGTGTAAATCAACTTTGAAAAGGGAATGATTATGCAAATTATACACCACTTCTTTTAAAACCAAGACAGGATGGAGTGTGCCTGTGGCCTGAAGCCGGAGGGTGTGTCTCAAATTTTTCATTCTTGCACCTCACTATATCCTTGCCCCAGCTCTGTTTAAGGAGGGCCCTCCTTGGTGGCACAACTGGTTAAAGTTCAGCACTATGAAGCTATTGCAGTCACTGAAGCAGGAGTTTGATCCCCACCAGGAGGTGACTCACATGGTGTGGCAGACCTCTCCTGAGCCACCCATTGCTCTCCTTAGCAATGCATTTCCGTACATCTGCCTATTCTGCTCCCTACTCTGTATCTGATGTTTCATCTCCATGTTTCTGGCTTGTACCCCAGTTCTGTATGTATCAATAAATAAACATTAAAAAAATAAAAAGCAACTACATTTTCTCATTGCCAAGCATTTTAATGATCTAACTCTCTGAACCCGTGACCAGGCTTACGGAGGCACTGGCAGCCAAAGGAATAAAGCACAGTTTGGTTTGGGCCAGCCAGAGGTGTTACCTGAGAAGAACCACAGGTTCTCGGCAGTAAGGACACTCTTCAATTGAAGGGACATTTGCTTATGGGTCAGTATTTTACTGCATAGATGAACTAAGACGCCCTCCGAGATTTAACACAAATACGAAAAGTTTCAACCCAGTGGGTTGGATATGAAATTATAGTACTAAGCACATGCTTGTGAATTATAAGAGAAGAGCCATTTCTCCATTTTAAAAAATCTAAGTGTGAAAACTGGATCATTTTTTCCTATTGGCTTGAATCCAGCTCACTTCAGTTGTGCCTGAATACCATTTCCTACAGCAAGTACAGTGTTTCTCAATCATTGTTTCATGTGCATTTTACTAAGGACAAAAAGTTCAACTCAGATTCTCTTAACAACAGAAATTGAACACTATGGGGCAAGACTTCACAAACCACTTAATAGCAACGATTTTTACAAATCTACCCTCACCCTCTACCACAACTTCTACTTTTTCCCTTTGGGGCAAAATCACTCCTGTTGGGAGTTCACCTGATCTCACTGCAGTTCTTGGGAAAACCTTGGTAAAGCTTTCTTTGGTCTTAAGACAAACATATTACCCACCTTTTACAGATAAAAATAAACTGAGATGCTAGGTAGGCAGGAAGGGATAAGGAGAAGAATAGCTGTAAACAAAGCCCTGTTGCTTTAAGGTGAAGCCTTCAAGGAGTGTGAAGAGGCATTGATTTGGAAAGAAATTTGATCTTCACAGGAAGAAAGCAACACATAACTCTTTAGAAATGAGTCACCCCCTAAAAGTTTTCTCAGTGTTATATGAGGATGTCTGAGTGGACTTGTAATTATCTGTTACAGATCTAAATTAACACTTCAGCTGATTTAGTTTCATACCAGGCCATCAGTTCTCATTGTCTTTTCTTTGACACATCTAAAGTTACCAGGTTACCCATACCAGACAGGTACCCACACAAATGACTAGGACAACAAACAAAATTATATAGAGTCATATAGGTACAGAGTTGGGAGTGAGAGACCAGCCTTACATGTTTTCCTGAATAACTGAATAGTGGGGGGCAGTGTGGTTCACAAGCAGAGAAGGTTGTTTCTAGATTAAGAGACCTTTCTAATCATCTGCTAAATCTCTTCATTGAATATTTGCAAGATGTCTGAGTAAACAGACTCAAGCCCACTTCAATATTAAGAAACTTTTTGGATTTCCAATTTGCTGACTTTGAACAAGTATTTTGTATATATGTGCAGTAAAGCACGATAACACAGATTTGCCCTTTTTTCAGTGTACATTACAGTATTGTTAATATATACATATTACTTATATAATAGTTCTCTAGAACTTTTTCATTGGGTACATGTGAAACTTCTGATCTTCCCTGACACCCCCAACCCCTGGCAACTACCAATCTGTTTTCCACATTTATGAGTTTGACTAATAGAGGTAGCCTACACAAGTAGTATAAGTGGGATTATACTGCATTTGTTTTTTTGTTTCTTGTTTTGTTTTGGTTTCTTTCATTTAGAATAATGCCCTCAGGTTTCATCCGTGTTGTAGCAGGTGTTAGTTAGAATTTTCCATTTTTTAGGCGGCATAATTTCCCAGTGCATGTACAGACTGCACTTTCTTTATTCATTCATCTGCCAATGTACACTTATGCTGCTTCCAATTCTTGGCTATTGTGAACAATGCTGCAACAGACATGGATGTGCAAATATCTATTTGAAATCCTGCTTTGAATTCCTTTGGGTATCTACCCAGAAGAGGGACTGCTGGGTTATTAAAAAGTTATTTCTACTGCATTTGAAATTATAAGTGATTTTACAGTCTTATTTTGCAAAGGCCTGTTCCCTAAGGTAATGCATAAACACCCCAGAAACAGCCTGCATCCAGGTCTCCAGATACGTCGTGGTCGCTGTGAGATGGCCTTGCTGCATTCTTCCCCTTTTACCTCACCCTCATGGTCACCGTCTCTTGCCAAGTTGTATTTTTTTCAATGACTTGAGCTTGGATTCAAGATTTTTCATCATGTTTTCCCACTTGGCTCACTTTGCTGATTCTTCAGCTGCACCAGACACTTTCAATGCACAGAAACAAATCCAGAATAAACACTCCAAATGTGTGTAGCATTTTTAAGTCTAATAAATAACTACCTCCAGCCAACCTCAAATGCAAACAATAAAATTTTTATGATGTCGGGTTTGCAATAGGAATATGCCCCATCCATAGATTTCCCAGGTACTATACACATGTACTATACACTTAAATTAAAAGCTACTCAGTACTTTTACATATAAATACTAATGAAGCCTTAAGTGCTATTACTATAGGCAAGCTTATGAATTCCAAATCAGCATTGTACTTTTTTTTCCCCCAAACACTTTAAATGAAATTTGAGTAGTGAGTAGGGGTGGGGCGGGAGCAAGCTGGAAGGTGCTGGAGAGAGGGAAGGTTAAAAGGAATGAGGAGAAAAGAAACAAAAACATCCTCACTACCTCCTCATCCTGCCTTAAGTGGAAATTCCAGCTGGCTCATTTCAAGAGGAAGTTACTGTCAGTGGTGGAGATATTTAGGTGTAAATTACTGGAAAGATCAAAAGCAAGGTTTTCATCATTAAGAGAAGCCTTAGCATCGTAGAATTTTCACATCCATCTTTAGAAAGAGAGGACAAAGACCACCAAGGAGCATGCAATCTTGAAGAAAAATGATGTTCCAAAAGCTGGAGCCACATGGGGTAACCCTATTAATCACAAGACATGCAAACAAGATCTGACAGTACAATTTACAGGAAAAGTTGTAGTGACCAGCACACACCATGGGGCAGGGAGCCCACAGATTTTAGTTGTGGATGAGGCACACTAGAGCACTTTAACTGGAGATTCTATTTTAAAGAATGGCTAAGAATTTGGTTTCAATCCCGGTGGTACATCTTACACATGCCAAATTCCTCAATCCGCTACCCAAATCAGAAACAGAATTCGTCTCCACAGAACTTCTCAGATTGCTCAAGAAAATATCGTTTCTGTCCATCAGAGTGAAGGAAACAGGACATGACATCAGGCTCCGAGCCAGATCAAAGCTGTCCTGATCAGCAAATTAGATTTTCAGACTGTCTCAGGATGAGTAGCAGATGTGTTTTTGGACTCTACAAAGTTAGGGGTGTCATCTTCATTGGTGAGAAGGGCTGGGTATTGTTCAGGCCCAGTCAGGCTTCCCCTGAGAAGAACCACCACTTTTTCTCATCCTCAGCTCTTATTTCCTAATATTTCACATTTCATTACTTGAACTGATTGGATCTTTTATTTTAGCCTGTTGATGTGATTCTCCAGGGAATCTCAGCTGAAACTGACTTAGGCCAGACGTGACAAGGCTTTACAGCAAGCCCACAATTTAGATTTTCTGTCTCCCTGATATCTTGTGATCGGGTTTATTTTGAAGCTGCCATACTGTCTCAGTTCTGTTAAAAGAGCAACTGAACAGATATTTTTAAAACATGCAATGGTTCTACTGTCTGTTAGGTTGAATTTGTTTCTGGTGTTGATTTTGATGTGGAGTAATAATGTGCCAAAAAAGCTGTTTCAGACATAGCAATGGGGGAGAAGGGCAGAAACAAATCTTAAATGTGTCCATGAATAAAACAGAAGGAGCTGATTTATTAAGCACAGGAAAATAAAAAGGAACCGCAGGCCAATTAAAGTTTTCTTTGTTTACTGAAGTCACAAAATGGGGGGTAAAATTCAACCTTGACTGACAGCTCCACATGAAATCCCATTCCTGTGTTGTTGTGAGAATTAATAAATGTGAAGTGAAAACTGAGGTTTGCTTAAAAATGTGAAGTTGTGCTCACTAAAGAAGACTCCATACGAGATCATCTTGGCCTGTTCATTGTGTTTAGGTCAGAGCGAGGCGTGAAGCAGAGGTGCACAATTCATTTGCTGACTTGAACTGCTGATGTCAAGCTCCTTTACCTTTTGTTTTGTTTTGTTCTATAAACACTTCCACTTCTAAGGGATCACTTCAGGGTCACTTCTTTATCAACACTCCAAACAAAACCCGCATGAACTTATAATCAGCCTGAAAAAAATACGTTTGTCTGTGACTATCCCATCCAGGGGCTGAAATACAGTTGTTACTCTTATGACCACTATGGCGATCACTAGGAACTCTGACCCTAACCCACAACAAGCATCATGCAACACGTGAGGCAAGGCCCAACAGGCACAGAAGTGTGCACACTTGTGTGTGTATAATAAAACTACATTGCAACTCACAGAGACCCTAGCAGGGAGACACACTGTTT